AATCACGAAGAGCTCAGTGAGCAAAACCATACAACGGCTAGTTTTTCGGAAAGTGCGATTGAATCGAACATCAATTCCTTCCTTTGTGAGTGCCTTCAACACAAAAACCATCGGCCTTCCAGAATAACGGTGTTTGCCGTTAGATTAGTTGTTTGTGTGCAATGCACGAGCCACCTCTTACACTACGACTAAATTTGAATGCTCGTCGCATTTTTGGCCAGTGTCTCGTTGTGTCATCACATACTAGGTGTTTCGAAATTCCACGCTACAACAAGGATTGATCGCCACTACTTCTTTATAGCTCCTGTTGTATCTCATTGTTATATCAGATCCACAAAGGTCGCGGTGTTCATATAATTTCATATAATCTCGTTTCAAAACTACCCTCTTCAAGATGTCACCTCGATCCCGAACTGAAACCACATCTTGGTTTTGTTTTTAGTGAGCTAGCAATGTTGAATTGTTGGTCATTCGTGCATGCCTTCTTCGGCAGTCTTTTTTTCAAATGTTGTTGGGTGGGCCATTCTAAACGAAATTCCATTTTCGGGTCTATTCCAGTTAGGGGGGCATCATGATGCAGTTTTTCCAGAAAGCTAGGGTAACTCCGAGCCAGGGGAGTGTAGCCAGTCTAGGGGGTGGGGGTGAGGGCAGTCACTTGACATGCGTGAAAAGCTGGAATGTTCGAGTTCACACTAGTTCGCCGAGAAACTGCATCATGATGCCCCCTAACTGGAATAGACCCCATTTTCTGTAAAAAAGAAAGTGCTCTTTTGGAAGTATTTCCCAAAAAGTGAGGAAATAAGGTGATCACTTGGGCAAAGTCTATTTCATGTTTTGCTACGATAATAGAATTCGTCAGCATATTTCAATGTTTTCAAACCTGTCACCTCAACAACAAGTTATGATGACGATTTTATGAGTTATTCCTGTTTTTGTCGCGTTATGGATTGATTTGAATTCGTTATTTGTATATGATTTGAAAACTCGATTGGGCGTTAAAAGCAAGGAGCGTATAGTGTGGGGTGCTTCCTCTTCGAGATGCACCAAGCAGTCCACTTCCTCCGAACTCGTAACGGAAATTGAATGCTATTTTGCATTTACAGCGATTTGCGCAGATCAGTGATGTATGCAGAACTCGGTGGTTTTTCCATGACGAGTCTAGTAAGAATGGACCGACATCGAAGCGATGAAGGCTTGGTTATCTTGAGCGAGATTCGATCGGGAATCTGACCCTTGAATAGCACGGGTTGGACGTGACGCTGCTACTTCTCCATCATCTCCCGCCCTGACTGGGTAGTTTTACGTGGAGACCGATACTTTGAGTCCTTCAAAAGTAGCGGCCGCGATAAATCTCATGGTAACGAATGGGAAAGATGTATAGTGGATTGGGTGGGAGATCTACCCGATGACACGATAGGTCACGCTTCTAGGGATGTGGTGCCTTATCAACGGCGTGGTGGTTTGCCGGGAATAAGCTTTTCAATTTCCTCTCTCCCGCTCTCGCACTCGGACGTGAAAGCGGTGGCAGCAGTAGCGTACTTGATATGACTCTGTTGCTGTTGTCGTCCGATTATGATTTTGAAGTGCGCCTCGTACTAAGCAGCGTATCGCATCTTCTATGGAGTAAGGCTCATCCAACCTCGCTCTATCTCCACCTTTTCCGTAAATGGCTTGTGGAGCTGTTCCTCATCTCTAGGCTGGTGTCAGAGTCCGCGATCCGTCGCAGGTTTCGCTGATTTTCGCGATTGCGCGATTTTCGCGATTTCGCGATTTGCGCGATTCGCGACGGGTCACGGAAATCACAAGTGCCCGATCAATACTGCAAGGTGTTCTCCAATCCTGCCGCCACTTCTGCTTGATAGTGATGGCTGAATGACGACTGCTCATGATTCCACTTGTTTCATATTCAGTGTTTCAAATGTTCACACACTTGCAATTTTTGCGATCCGTCGCAGGTTTCGCGCAAATCGCGTGAATCGCGAAAATCGCGAAAATCAGCGAAACCTGCGACGGATCGCGGACTCTGACACCAGCCTAAGCCAGCGCAATCACTTTCTCAGGACACGTTCCGCAATCACTTAAGTGTGGTTGTTAAATGTAGAAGTGCGAAGTGGACCACCGGTGTATAAGAAATGAAAAGAGCTCTCCAAAAACACTAGAGATTAGGCGCCCAATGTGGTTGACGGACAACCAGACTAAGGAATGGTCATTTGGTCAGCCAGCTATTTGTAATGAGGTGTAGTCCGATGCACGCGTCTTGACGCTGAGCTCAAATCCGTTTTCGATACCTGCGGAACGCTTCTCTGAAAGAAGTTACGAGGGATTCTTCTCACTGTGGCTCCCTCTCTCACTCTCTCTGTGTTACGCCTTACATCCCCTATTCACCTGGGCACGCTTAAAAAGGGCCGAAGAAAAGGCATGCTGGTTGGCAAAAT